GCATATCAGTTTTCTACATGGGAACACTTGGAGGCTGAGTGATCATCACTATTCTATTGCATTCTTTCACCATTTGTGACCAAAACCACCATTTTCTCTTGATTTTCCTTCTCTTTAACCTTGCAAACACTTGGGTGTGTGATGGGTGAGGAAAAAGGAACCATCTTCTGAGTGTGGGACTGTTGTGTTAGGATTCTAGGGGCTGTGTTCTATGATCTTGTGGGGTGTGGCCTTTTATTTAATGTTTTGAAGCTCCAAGGAGCTTTCTTGTTGAGTAAAAGAGCTACCTTGTGCATCATTTTCGTTCACCTTGGTGTCTGCACCTATGGAGCTGAAGGGAGAGCTCCAAGAGCACCTTCATTCTTTATTTTGAGCTTGTGATATGAACACCACCCTTGAACTTGAGTTTTTATGCTTAAAAATCAATCCTTGATGCATCTAACAAGCTAAAGCTAATAACCTAAGGGTGGGTAAGCTTAAACACACCTAGAATTGCATGCTTAAGCTTCTGTAATTGGTAAAAATGGATCCCTTTGAAGGATATCTCGCGAACATGCAAAATCAGCATTCTGACGCGAAATATCCGGATATTTGGTTGGAAATATCCAGATATTGATATCCGGATATTCAGTTGGAAATATCTGGATATTTTGGTCGGGACAACAACGAACCTGTTTTAGTAAAAATTTGATATCTTGAGCTACAGAGCTTCAAATTGAGTACCGTTTGGACCTATGTGAAGCTAACACCTAGGGAAACAACTCTGTTAAATTTCGTAGCCATTGGATCAGTGGTTTGATCGCAGTTTCAATTTTAAGTCGCGTTTTGGTTGCTAGAAATTCCGTTCCAGCAGTCACCTCGCGTAAATAATAACCGGAGTTATACAACTCCGATTGAGGCGTATAGTATGTCGCTGTAAAGCTGGAGATGTCTAGCTTAACATATTAAATCTTAGATTTTTTGTCAAAGAGATGCAATTAAAGTTTTAAAAAGAGTAAACGAAGTTTAATGCTTAAGGCTTTGAGAAAAGCCTGCAGTAAGCGAAAATGAGAAAGAAAACGTATTCCTTTTGCCATGAAATTATAGAGCATGAGTATTGATGATAATTCTGGTATAAACAGACTGTGATTGTGCTATTTGGTGACCTTGAGCTAGCGTGGACTCTTGGATTCGATAATTAGCTTAAGAGGTAAGCTTTTGTGTCCTCGGTTTAGCCATGTTGTGGTTCCACCATGTCCCATGGGGGTATGGTTGTATGCATGCTGTGTTATATGCTTTTGATGTTTTGGAAATGCTATTGAGCTATTATATGCTAGTGCCTTTATGATACGCATGTGGTGTTCCACCTATACGGTAAGCCTGAGTATGTGGTACATATAAGATGGTGAGGCTGTGGGTGAGGTGCAAGCGGTGTTCCTTGTACTACGTGTGGGTAATAGAAGTATTCGTACATTTCTCTGGCCAGTAGAATAGTATTGACACACATGGCATGAATATCTGTTGCACTGCATTGAGTTTTTGAACTTATGTTGAATTACTGCTTTTGGAACTTATATTGCACATGTAAGTGAGCTTGGGGTGGAAGATCCTTGGGGACCCCTTGTCTTACTGAGATTTCTGGTTTAGAGATCTCACCCCACGTTTGGGGAATGCTTATTTCAGGTTCAGGTAATGCAGGGGTTGAGACCTCTAGTGGCAGGAGGCCAGAGCTTAGCTGATAGATGTTGCATGTTTATGCTGCTTATACTGATATGCTCTTATGATTGGATGTTGGATCCTATTTACTGTCTTATGCTTTTAGCTTCAGTTTATGGATTTATATGTTGAGACTTTGTTAGTTATGCTGTTGATTTGGTGAGCATGAGGATTGTCCATGCCACTTAGACTTGATTATGTCTTGTTTTATTTGGAGTTGTAATAATGTATCAGGATATTGTCCGGATTACGTGTTGTAATACCGTGAGTTAGATACTCACTTTATCTATATATTGAGGTATTCCAGTTAGATATCTTTTTGCAATTTACATACAGGCGATATTTTATGAAATTGATTAAGTAATCAACTCTGCTAAGTATAATGATGTCATAATTGAAAATAAAAAAGATATTCCGCATTTTTAATTAAGCGCAGCTTAATACGATGATATGTTAACAAACCGGGTATACTCGGGGTGTTATAGTTATCCCTCAGAACCTTACGATGTCGTTTCGCTCCTCCCTTTCCGAGACCCTTACCTCCCTTTCCTCTTCCAGACATGATGGTTGCTGTTGCTGATGTTTCTCTCTCAAAACGAAACCAAACCGAATAAGCACGCAAATGAATTACCTAATAGATGCTGAGAATGTGGAGATTATGTAACATGTGATGATAGATTTGTGGTCATTGGATTGCTTAGCTATCCGTGGGAATGTAGAATTTGGAAGCTGAGCCCATTGGATTTATAATACTTGATTTCGATTGGCGGAAAGTGTGTGATGCGGATTGCGTGGGTTTGAAATTAGGAGTGCGGGGTTTTTTAGTGAAAATTGTGTCTCTGAGAAAACACATTTTTTTTAGCCCGAGGGATACGAATTTTGAATGAAAATGTAGACATCGCGCTTTACATGAATGTAACCGCGTTTGGAAATTAAACGCATCATCTGCAAAGCAGTATTTAGATATTTGATCTCTTATATTATATATATTAAAAATTTTATTTAATATCAAAACGTGTCCCAACGTGTTCAAATATGACATTTTTTAAAATTAACGTGTCGGCGTGTCGAATCGTGTCGTGTCCCGTGTCCGTGTATCATAGCAACAACCAATCAATTCACTTGATTTATATACATAAAATCTGCACATGTAACTTACAAAAAGAAAAGGAACGTGACATGCATATGGAAGACAACAACTTATAATTTCATGTAGAAATAACAAACTATTCATTCTTCAATTATTCAACAATATTTCCTACACATGTATTCTTTAAGAACCAGTTAAATTCCTATATTTCATGCCCAAAAATCTGCATATATTAGGAACACATATAGCAAAAATATAACATGAAATCACAAAGAGAACTTCAACCACAATTGGAAACAATTTAGTTAATTATCTAGTCAGTAATTTACTAACTTTTCTTTTAATTAATTAAATTAATCAAACCTTTATTATTATTAATATGTTATCAAACATGTATTTCAGATTTATAAAGAATTAATAATAATCATTCAATCCATTATTTAATCAAGAATATGACTAGATTACTTAAACTAGACCAATTTTACTTAGTTAATTCACTTCACAATAATTTCATACATCTTTGGCCAATATTAAAGCAAGCTTTGACCTAATTTTATAGATTAATCCAATCATCATTAGATAAAATTAGGATCATTTCTAGTCTTTAAAATTCTTCAAAGAATTTAATGAAATAATCAAAATTAAGCTTGAACCATTTTTTTGATTATTTGCACTTTAATCCCTATCCTTTCACTTATTTATATTTTGAACCCTATAATTTATGATTAATTACACTTGGGTCCCACTTAATTATCTTGACATGAATTATTTTGTCATATTTATTTTCATGACAATTCATCCATTTACTTAATGAATTTCACAATACTTGCTTACTTTATATAAATTCAACAAACACCTTTAATTAATATTATATTTAAATAATAATTTTCATATTTAAAAAATGAGGGTTGTTATAAGCCTCACCACCATGCATACTAATCCGTCACTCCTTGCGGCATCTTTTTCTTATACTCTCGTGAATGAGCATACAAATCCTGTATTAATTATGACTATATGATCTACATTCGCCTCCAGGATCGATAAAAAAACAATATAAAAAAATATAATTCTTACATAAGTTAATATAAAACAACAATATAATTGAAATTTGACAATAATATTAAATAAATAAATTACACCGACTTTTAAAATAAATTAACAAATGAAATACAATAAATATTTTTAACTGATTCTAATAAAATATTCAATGACGAAGCCCAATAATTAATTGGAATTTATTCATTTTTTACTTGTTTAACAAGAGTTTAATTTTAAATTAATCTGGTATTATCAATTGGGTGGGAAAGAGACAATTCCGGGGCAGGGTCATATTTTTTCTTTTCTGGTCACGTGCGGTGTTTCTGCATATCTCTTGTTTTTAGCTTCACCTTGTTCTCCAACCTTAAAGTTGTTTAAATTGTTTTCGCTGGAAAGCAAGTGGGTTGATTTGTTTCTAAGTACCTTCAAGTTGGAGGAATCATCGATTGAGAATCCAGTACCGGATAAACAATAACAAGCTATTTAAATTTGTTTTTGTTTGAGACAGAGATGAGCAAAATAACCAAAAAAATTGAACCGAATCATGAATCAAACTGAACTGCACTTAAAATAATTGGTTTTTTAAAATTAGTTCATTAATCGAACTGATTTTTAAAGATCCAGCTCATAAACCGAACCGATTTTTATAATCAGTTCAAGAACCAAATTATTTTCGAACCGAGTCAAATTGATTTTTATTACTTTATTTTTTTTTAATTTATTTTTCTCTTCTTTTCAGAATAGAGTCGACCTGAACTGGTTCCAAACAGAACCGAACCGTTTTCAACCAAATCGAATCACTTTCAAACCAAATCAAATCGATTTTAAACCGAACCAGTTTGAAACGAATCAAATTATTTTTGAATAATTTAAATCTATTCGGTTCAGTTTACACAAATTCGGTTGGGTTTAAACTATGGACACCCCTACCTAGAGAGCAAGTGGGTTGATTTGTTTCTAAGTACCTTCAAGTTGGAGGAATCATCGATTCCGTATCTAGTACATAGCAGACAGTGTAGTGTTATTTATTTGCACGACACATGCTTGCCTGTATATATGATCGTTTTCGTGGGTGTAAGGGAATAAAGTAACCGAGTGAGAACCGAGAACTACAAAAATCAAGAGAGAAGATTTACAATGAATGCAATTTTAGTGTTGTTGGGTCTGCTGTTTACAGTGGGAGTGGTGGGGTGTGTTTTGTGGTGGTGGAATGAGCTCTGGTACGTTGTTCCTCTCAGAGTCAAGTGTTCAGCTTCTGGCACCAAGTTGCCACGAGGCCACATGGGCTTTCCTTTCGTTGGAGAAATGATTAGCTTCCTGTGGTACTTCAAATTTCTTGGACGCCCAGATGACTTTATCAATGCTAAGCGACGCAAGTAAGTTTTTGCCCTCCTTCAACAGGATGTCTAACCATCTGATCAAACCTAATGCTGGAAAAATATGCTCTGTGATCATAAACATATAAATAAATTCTCCATTGGTTCAGAAGCTGTCATATAGTTATTGCATCTTGTTGCATAAAATTTGAATGAATGCCTCTACTTTTTATTGATATCTTCATTGTCATGGTGATATATGGTTGCCGATAAACCATCAAAGATATGGCGATGGAGTAGGCATGTTCAGAACGCACCTCTTTGGGTCACCAACCATGATAGTATACACACCACCACTTAACAAATTTGTGCTCCATTCAGAGGACAAGTTCAAACAAGAATGGCCTACTGTTGAACTCATGGGTACTGCTTCCATGTTGGCAGTCCATGGGAAGGCCCATGCTCGGGTCCGCAGCTTTGTCACCAATTCCATAAACCGGCCTGACTCTCTACGCCGCATCGCTCTTCTTGTCCAACCTCGCATTGTCAATGCTCTTCAATCCTGGGCAAAAATGGGAAAAATCAATGCCAGAGTTGAAACCCATCAGGTATATATTCTCTTCCAAAATTTATATATACTTTTCCCAATTGTGTTCGTTTGAATTGATTTTTCTTTTTTCTATATATATATATATATATATATATATATATATATATATATATGAGGCAGGATCCTTTGACACAAGTGTCAAACTTTGAAATTTGACATCAATTTCTAACCGTTGATTTCCGTTAATCAATGATTATCATTTATTGAGAATTAATAATTAATTAATAAGTTTGAATTAATATATAGGGAAAAATTATTCTATTTACCTCTTTTTCATGTACACCATTATATTATAATCTTAACTAATCTTGATCATTTCTTTTTCATATTGAGATTATGATCCATCGGTGTTGGAGAATGTTAGACAAGATAGACATAAAAAAGATAAGTAGAATAACATGGGGCAAGTTATATTTACAAACTTTTTTGTTTACAAACTCTTACAAACTACACTATGTAGGACCGGTCCTACATTAGTATAATTGCAAAAAAAGTTTGTAAACGGATCCTATCCCGAATAACATATCCAATATATATAGGTAGGATCCTTTGACACCGGTGTCAAATTTCAAATTTGACACCTCATCTGATAGCCATTACATAAAAAAAAATCAACGACTCTGATTTGTAAGCATAGCCATTACATAAAAAAAAATCAACGACTCTGATTTGTAAGCTATATATATATATATATATATATATATATATATATATATATATATATATGGCAAAAGTATTTCGACCTTTGCGGCAGAAAATTTTGGTCTGCCACATACACATTTTTATCAGGATCTGTCAGAGGACGCTCTTTTAAAAAAAAATAAAAATCAAGATTTGCCGGCAGATCTTGCTGAATATGTGTCTGCGACAAATAAGTTTTTCTGCTGTAAAGGCAAAAAAAATCGAATCTCAAAAAATAAAAAATAATATATATATATATAATGGGATAAGATCCGTTTACAATTTTTTTTTGCAAATTACACTAAGTACGACCGGTCGTACACTGCATGATTAAAGTAAGACCGGTCGTACTTAGTGTAGTTTGTAAGAGTTTGTAAACAAAAAAGTTTGTAAATATAATTTGCCCCATATATAATGATCGAAAGTATTTTTCAAATATCGTTTTTATATTATAAAAGCTCTTCTAAGTAAAGAAATCTATATGTTTTCTGTCACAATTAAAGTCAAAGTGCTCAATCACAATTCCATTGATTTTTCTGTCATCAACTTGTTTATATGTTTTACTTTTATCCTATTTAAAATTCGCATATGAGGAGTCAATTATCCGTTTTCACTATATAATTTCTTGTTGTAAATTAAACATTAGAATGTATTTATTTGAATATTTTAGTTGTTATTTTTTTTTTAAGCCTAAAACCATGTTACTTGATTTGGTAAAAAAATTATCAATGGCAATCCAATATCGATATTATAGCAATATCAACTACAGTACTCTTACCTTCAAGATTTAAACAGTTTCATATAGCCAGGCAAACTCTTGTTTGTATATAAATCTTTTTCTTTCTTCCATTTTCTTTTGTTGCTAATGTCTTGTGTATTGTTTGCTCTATAAGTTAAAGTAGAGTGAGGATTTTGTATTCTGCCAGCAAAGTGTGGAGTTTACTGTTAAAATTAATTAGAACTGAATCATATTGATTGCAGCTGGGAATTCAGAACATTGGGAAATTATTTGCGAGCATGGAGCCAGGTCCTCTTCTGCATTCCTTGGATAAGCTCATTCATGGCATGCTTCCGGGATTGAGAGCCTACCCACTCAATTTTCCTGGTTTTGCTTATCATCATGCTTTCCAGGTTCAACCCATTAATCCAATATAGTCAAACCAAGTTTTGCTTCAATTCCTCGATTCTATGATAATGGACTTCTCGAACTAACAAAATTCCATAAAATTTCAGTGTAGAAAGAAGATTGAGGACATTTTCTGGATGGAGTTAGGTAAGAGAAAGAACGAGACTGAGGGGGAAATAATTGATCTAATGGACGGTTTGATGCGTATTGAAGATGATGAAGGTCACAGATTGAGTGACATAGAAGTGGTACACAACATTGTTTCTCTAATGATTGGTGGATATGTCTCTACGGCCCTTGTATCGATGTGGGCTATTTACCTTCTTGCTAAGTATCCAACAGTGCTCAGAAAGCTAAGGGTATATATTAACTCATTAATGTGTTTTGCAAACCAATAGTTTAATACTAATGCATCTAATCGTGTGCTATTTTTGCTTGCAATTGCAGGAAGAGAACACAGCTTTCAAAAAGGGAAGTCCGGGGGATTTTATTACCGCTGAAGATGTTTCAAATTTAACATACACAAACAAGGTCTTTCATTGGTTGTGCACATATACATTTACAGTAAAAGCTTATTTATTCATTTACCATATATTCATTTAATTGAGCACAGGTCGTTGAAGAAACAATAAGAATGGCCAATGTTGCATCATTTGTTTTCAGAAAAGTTGAGAAAGAAATCAATTATAAAGGTACAGATTGCAATTTCTGAGAAAGTTTATAAGTGAAAGCTTGAGCATAAAGAAGGAATGTTTATTTTAATTCCCAGATAAAATACAAAGAAACATGTCATACTACATATAAAGAAGGAATATATATAAACGTCACAATTTATTGAGATATATATAATTGAATAAACCTAGTAGTCAATTACATCATTGATTATTAAGTAATTATTGTAGTTAATTAATAGTTAGCTATCATAATTTACTATAATAAATTATGTAATTGGCTTAATATATACACTTACTTCGAGTAAATAAGTTAATGCAAGTATTTTTTACTCCATTTCCTGAATAGTGATTGTTCTAATTCATAGAAAGATCACGCGGGTTTGTGGTTCCATCTATTGAAACAATTTTGATGTGAAAATGTAGTGTCCATAATAGATGATGAGCAACAACCCATGCCATGTGTGTGTCCTTAGAAATTATTGAGTTTAATTAATCTAATGAAAACTCAATATTTTTGTAGGTTACAAGATTCCGAAGGGATGGAAAGTAATTTGCTTTCTTCGGTACTTTCAAACGAACCCAGAGAACTTTAAGGACCCCATGTATTTTAACCCTGATAGATGGAACGTATGGTCATTTTTTTCTTATTAATTTAATGTTTTTCCAATGTTCCTTGTTTAATTTCCACAAAATATTTGACTATTTATAATCCTGATCAGGAGCCGGCAAAGCCTGGAACTTATCAAGTCTTCGGCGCTGGACAAAGACTATGCCCCGGAAACACGCTTGCTAGAATTCAACTTGCACTTCTGCTTCATCATTTATCCATAGGATACAAGTAAAGTCTGATCATAATTGTTGATAGCATAGTTTGTTTTAACTTTAACTTTGATACGAACTATACATTTCTAATTGCATTTTTCCTTCACGAATTTAAATGCAGGTGGGAACTCCTTAACCCAAATGCAGATATGATATATCTTTCACATCCAGCACCAGTAGATGGGGTTGAAGTTAAGTTCAGCAAATTGTGAAGAAAAAGAAGATGAAAAAAAAAGGATGTAGCCCTTCTCTTTTGATAAGTAGACCACGAAAATGTAGCTTAAAACGTTGATGGTTGTTATTTTCTATTATATACTTATTTGAAGTCTCCAATAAACGTTGATGTATTTTGCATATGTCTCCAATAAATTTATACTATTATCCATGACAAATTTTGATTTGTTTTATCGTTTGCTTATGTATTTTTTCAGTATATCAAGTACCTTTACAAGATTTTCCCGTGGAATGTAAAGACGAAATAATCCCAATCAGCGTATTAGAACAAGTAAGGGCCCGTTTGGTACCGTGATTTTATTTGAACTCCCAGGAAAGTTATGTATGAAAATCAGGAAATCTATGTTTGGTTGACAAAAAGTAAAAAGTTGCACTGGAAAATTTGTTTCTGGGATTTGTTTATTGTGTGCAATTTTATGTCCGATCACCACTGATGAAATTCCATGGTTTAGTTGGAAAACTTGCTTGCCAGGGAAAGTAAAAAATAAACAATCCTTTGGTAGACGAAATTAACCCCGTGAAATACAACTATTTCGCTGCACATTGTGTTCCTCTTTGTCATGCTTTCAACCTGAAATACAACTATTTCGTCAGTCTCAGACATGGAGAAGGTGAATGGAACTGTCACAACCTTCCTTCACCGACAAACAGAATGCAAAAAAAATTAAATTATTTGTTACATGCTTCTCTCCCACACTGACTCCACAAGAAACAACTTTAATAGAACCAACACATGACACAAGCAAACAGTGCACACAAGCTCCATGACTCTCACAAAATCCAGATCCCTCTGAAATCTGATATCCTGAACGATGAGTATGAGTAACGTTGTTAAATTTTTTGAATGAAAAGCAATGGTGGGGTTATTTTGGTAAAATAACCTCACATTCCTACTAATATTTCATAACTAACCAAACACAAACTCAGTAAAATTAACTTAATTTTTCCAGAAAAATATGGATCTACCAAACAGCTTTTTAGTAATATTATAGTAAAATGTATTTCCCACTACATTCCAGTAATAATTATTTCTCGGATAAAAAAAAATTTCTCCCATACCAAACGCCCCCTAAAAGTTTTTTAATTTTACGACAATAATATGAAAGCACATGTAAATAATCACTTCAACCCAAAATCTTAAGTTGTTAGGTGATTACTTTTTTAATATTTTTTATTTTATTCTCTAACACACCCTCTCACGCAAGAGCCCTCTAGGCTTGAAGTGTGAATATGACACAAGCCTATTTTTGATCTGCCTTGTGCTACAAAGCCCATTTTTTTTAATCTGCTTTGTGTTTTTCTTAATTTCACCTAAAAGAGGGGGCAGAAAGGATTGAACTCGCAACATTATGGTCACTAAAACTCTGATACCATGTAAAAAATCTTAAGTGATGGCCTTTTTAATACTTTTTATTTGATTTTCTAACAGCACACAAAATTAGATTCAGGTTAAAGTTGTTTTAGAAGATCTAACAACACCTAATAACAACTAAATTAACTAAAGGACTGGATTAAGTAAACTAGAATTAAAAAAAATGAAGAAATCCAAATTAATATTTGGGTTGTCAATTTGCATTTTCTAAGTGTTGAAGATAGGATTTAGTTTGTTGAAATATTGTTGTAATTCGATAGGATTAATTTGTTAGGTTGTTCTGATTTATAGAAGTTGTTAACTATTTGTAAGTAGGTATTGTTATTGATACTTGTATATATACCTCAATTAAGGAGGAGAAAAGTAATAAAGAGATGTTCAGTTCTCAGGATTAGAATTTTAACGTGGTATGAGATGATTTTTTTTTAATCCTAGGAACCTATACTACCCACATACGTTTCTTTTTTCTTTTTTCCTTTCTGACCCGTATTTCCTCATTTTTTTTTACCTTGACCGGTATTTATCAGATCCGCTTCTTTTAATCTCGTCGTTCAAACCCAACCCGCATCGCATCGCAATCCCTAATTCTTCCGACGCGATGGAATACCCTGACACAACCCCAAAGACAACCTCCCCACCATCCTCCTCTACCTTGCTATCCCAGGTTGCTCGTCCCTCTGCTGTCACTCATGTTCCAAAACCACTAAAGGAAGCATCCTCTGGCAAAAACTTCCAGTGTTCTCACTGTGGCGATTCTGGTCACTCAAAAAGCTGCTGTTATGAAATCATTGGGTATCCCGACTGGTGGGTCTTCACCAAACATCCCCATCGCAAGTTTGCCTCTAAAGCCCTTTTCTCCTCCGAAGGTGACTCTTCTTCCCCTCCTCAGGCAAATGCTATTTATGAAGGCATCTTAGGTAATTCTCTTGCTCTCTCTACTCACTCTAGAAATTTGTCTTGGATAATTGATACTGGTGCAACAAACCATATGATTCATGATGCTTCTGTTTTGACTGCATTTATTTTTAAAATGTAATCCCTCTGAATTTCTGTGTTCTACTTGTGAAATGGCTAAGAGCCATTGTATCCCTTTTTATCCCAGTTTAAATAAAAGTGAGATTCCCTTTCAAGTTATTCATTCTGATGTCTAGGGATCAACTCGAGTGTCTTCTTCTTCGAATGCCTTTTATTATATGTCTTTTATTGATGAATGCACTAGAATGATGTGGATCTTGTAACACTCCGTGTATACCCGATTTGTTATCATATTACAGTATTAAGCGCAGCTAAATTAAATGCGGAAGCTAAATTTTTCTTTTCAATTATGACGTCATTATTATTAACCAAGTTGATTACTTAATCCTTTTTCAAAACATTGAATGTATGTAAATTGCAAGAAATAACTAACTGAAATACCTCATATATAAATGTGTATCTAGTCACGGAACCACAACACGTAGTCCGGACATAATCCTGTTCATTATACATCAAGAGTTTAAATAAACAAAACATAATCAATGTGGCATGGACAATCCTCATGCTCACCAAATAAGGCAACAAAGTCCAACATAGTCTTAACACAGATAGCAACATAATGGCAATAAATCATGACAAACAGCCAGGCATAACAGCACAACATCATATATCTCAACTCAGCTCCGGTCTCCTGCCGTCCGAGGTATCAACCCCTGAGGTACCTGAACCTGAAAATGTGCCCCAAACGTGGGGTGAGATCTCTTAAAAGAAATCTCAGTAAGACAAGGGGTCCTCAAGGATCTCTCCACCCCAATCTCACATACATGTGCAATATAAGTTCAAAAGCAGTATAATAATATAAGTTCCAAAATCTATGCAAAGTAGCATATAATCATGTCATGTGTGTCAGAATCCTACTGGCCAGAGAATAAACATGAAGGAATTACATATGTCTACAACCCACAATACAAGACGCTACTTGCACCTCACCCACAGAATCACTGTCTTGTATGACGCTACACACTCAGGCTTACCGTCTAGGTGGAACAACACATACATGTCATAAGGCACTTGCACTTAGCAGCTCAAAAGCATTTCAATAATTATCATTTCATGAAAACACATCATGCATATAAACCATCCCTCCATGAGGTATGGTGGAACCAACAATGGGCAAAATCGAGGACACAAAAGCTTACCTCACAAGCTAACAATTCAAAGTCAAAGTCCACACTAGCCCAAGGTCTACAAACAGCACTCTCACAGTCACCAAGGCTTGGAACAGAGGCAAGGGTGCTCTTGGAGCTCACTTTGCAGCTCCCAAGGTCAAACTACACAAAGGCCACGTATATGAGTAGCAAGATTTGTCTTTTCTTCACAAAGCTCACCACTTGGAGCTTCTACAACCAAGGAAATGGTTTCCTCTTCACTTAGCCAAGAAGTCAGCTCTCTCCCTCCTGAAACAGTGGCTGAAACTCAAAAACGGAGTGACACCACATGCACACAAGGCTTGCTCTCAACTATCCATGGTATTTTGGTGAAGGAAGCTTGAAAAAACAAGGTTTCTTTGACTCACAAGAGGAAGGGAAGAAGGTGACAAGGGAGGAACACCACACTCGGAAATGGAGGCACAATGGAGGCATGTAGGAAACTGATAGAATCAGTCTAGGGTTATGTGCTATGCCTATTTATAGCTCGCTTAAGTTTAAACCCACTGTATTAACACTAATAGCTCCGCTAATCATTTTAATCCCAAACTTTAGATTATGAACCTAGCCATTTTTCTAGGATTTGTCATATTTTTATTTTATTTTTTGGAGCACTTTGCCGGTAAGCGCTTTTACATAGCCGGTATCAGTCCTAACACCAGTTCTCATTATTTCGACCCCAAAATTGTTATACCAATCCTAAATATTATTCTAGGAATATTCATATACTTATTATAATTTTTCAGGATACTTCATCGGTACGCACTTATACCGTGAAGCAAAACCGGTATCTGCACTTTTCGTCAGAAAAGCGACTTTCAGCATTATTAAGCCTTTATATTAATTATTCTTACCTTACCACAATTATTTAAAGTCAATTATGGAATTATTCACTTAAGCTAATAATTAATTAATTAAATTCCTAATTTAACGGTGCAGGTTCTTATAGATCTCTTTACTGAAAAACAAAAATGAAGTTTTTTCTGTGTTTCAGAATTTTCATAATATGATTGACACTCAATTTATAACTTCAATCTAAATTCTGCAATCTGACAATGGACTTGAATATAAGAATAAGGAATTTTTTTATTTTCTAAACTCTAAAGGGATCAAACATCAAACTTCATGTGCATATACACCTCAGCAAAATGGATTGGTTGAGAGGAAAAACAGGCAATTATTAGAAGTCACTCGAGCCTTTTTATTTGACATGAATGTACCCTTTCACTATTGGGGTGAGACTGTTCTTTCTGCAGCTTATGTTCTATATCAGACTCCCTTTAGTTCCTTGAAGTTTCTTACTCCTCAACAAAAACTTGAAACCTTCTTTTCCATTCCTCATGTTATGAATTTGGAACCTAGAGTCTTCGGGTGCACGACCTTTGTTCATACCCCAAAAGTCCTACGAACCAAGCTTGATCCA